TTATGGGTCTCAAGAGTCAAGTCCATTATTGTTTATATACAAGACAGGATTTATCACACTAATGTAGTCTGTGCCATAATGAAAATGGAGAACAACCAAAGCCTAAAAAAAATTATCTACTAAAGAAAAGCCTAAATAAAATTGTATTTGTTTTCGTTTGTCATCGTCACAGTCTACCTTAGTTGTCGCTAGAAAATTCCTATTTGATAAATCGAACAATACCCAAAAAGCAAAGAAAAAAGAAAATGTAAGCTGAAGACAATGTCATAATCAGGCATATAAGTTTCTAATGGTTGAAACTTGAAATAGCGTGTGTTAGGAGTAATGCTGCTACTTACACAAAGGTAGTTGCATAGTTAGTAGCCTTTCTCATTGGTTAACAACATATTATTAATAAAAATATTTATAGACAAGTTTTTAAATATACATCCATATATATGAAAAAAAATATTTGTCATTTTAAAAAATATAACTTTGTGTCATTTTTAATGAAATTACACAATTTTAGTGTATATTTGGTAATCTTTTTACATTTTCTCTCATTCACTTTCTCTTTTTTCCTAATTTTATGGAAGAGGGAAGATATAAAAAATCACCAAATACATACCACAACAACATAGTTTCTTTAAAAATGATATAAAATTATGTACTTTAAAATGACAAATGATTTATGTACAAAAAAATAAAATGACAAATGATTTTCCATATATTAATATATATATGTATAGGATTTTATAATTCTCATTCAACATGAGAATTCAAATTTTTCTACACACCCTTCGATTCCCATGTTAACATAGGTCCTACATATAATTTTTTCTAACACATGGGTCCCACATGCTTTTTATCTCTACAACATGAGAATTGAATTCTCATTTAACATGAGAAAATCAAGCCCCATATGTATATATGCAAATGCCATGTATTTCTACCAAAATATAGAAAGGCAATACAAATAATAGCGAGATAAAAACTTTCTATTAAAGCTTACCAAAAAAAAAACTTTCTATTAATACTCATTTCTTTTTAGAGAAAAAAGTTTCCGATGTTACTTTAGATAACTTTATCTAATGTTCATCGAAACGACGTCATTTTGGGGTTGAAAAATTAAAAAGTTAGAGTGATAAAAACTATTATAACCCTGAAATAAATTAAAATTACAAAAATATCATGATTTCCGTCCCAAAACGACGTCTTTTTGATAACATTAGATAAAGTTATCTAAAGTAACATCAGAAAAAACAAACCCTTCTTTTTATGGGTGAAAAGTTGAAAACATGAAAAGAAAATTGAAGTGAAAATCAGAATTAAAACAAATAACGTGAAGCTGAAAATGAATACCATTCCAACATTAATGTGTTCGATACTAATTAGGTATAAATAGCTATCTTATATTTTCTGCCACCTAATTTACTATTTATAATTTTCAACTCAACAAAATATACGATTAACAAAAAAAATTTACATTATTCGCTAGCGAATTTGCAACGTGCTAGTTAGTAGGGGTGTTAACGGATCGAGTCAAGCCGAGCTTTGGTTTTAAGAGGCTAAGTCTGTGTTTAAATGTGTCAGCCTGATCAAGCCTGTTACCTGTTATGATGAATATAATTATCGGCCTGTGGCCTGACTCATTTACAAAAAAATAAAAGTCTGGTTTAATCTGCTTAAAAAAAACAAGACAACAAAAATTTATCCAAACAGAATATACAATCAACAACACTAGTAATTACATAAATATTCATAAATTCAATGTATATCCATACAACATAATATAGAATAAAATCATTCAAAAAATCTGTTTAACCAATAAAATGAGGCGAAATGGATTGAGAAGAGAGAGAGCTATTACAAGCAGTATAAAAAATATAAAATAAAAACAAAAATTAATATACTAGGTCAGCCTAAGAGGCTATAAGACCGAGCTTTTCAATTAGAGCCTGACACCTTTTTATTAAATGAGCTTTTATACACGTCCAAGCTCGGTTCTAACAACCAATTTTGGACATGTAAGCTCAGACCTTCACGAGCCAAGACAAAAGTTCCTCAAAGACCGTGATTCGTTTAGCACCTCCAATTAGTTAGTCATCATCTAGACCTTTTGTTATTCCTAAACACACAAATGGCAGGTTGTAGAAAAAGATGCCACCGTGGACTTCAACTATTATATCTAGTGAAGTATTATCCACAGTCACAACATCAAATGAAAAACACACTGTTCAAGATCAGTTCAGTCCACATTGGAAACAGAATAATACAATTAGTCACGCACAAGAAAGGTGATAGGAATATACCCTAATGCTGAGGTTTCAATAAAGTGGGGTATCAGCTCCCAAGTAAACAGCCTTCTGATCAGAGAGAACCTCACTTATACAATTGGAAAGATTGGTTCCTGTTCCTTAGCACAACAAAAGATTGAGACTTAATACTCCTCCTAAATAAGAAACTTTTGTTGGATGTTTGGAGTTATTATCATTCTAATTGATAACGGGTATATTCTTATGGATAAAACTTCGAGATAAAATATATTCCTTCACTCAACTCAGCTGTCAATCAATGAATATCTCTTTTACCAACTTATCCACAAGAAGACACTGCCTTCACTACACTCTGACTTGGATTCATAGGACATATTCTTTAGCACCCACTTTTCTGCTAAAATGTAAAAAACTACAGGAAGACACAACAGTCAAATGCCATTCATTTGCCACCTTGTGCTTTTATCTTCTACTGTAGAAACCCATGTTTTCTTTGGTCAAAGGATAAGGGCCATATAACTTTTATTTAGTGGGATCAATCTCACCATAGAGGAATTATTACGTAGTACCAATATATGGGGGAGGGTAAATGGTGGTAGGAGCCACTTGGGCCCATGACTGAGGGTCTTCTAGACACACAACTTGGAGATCGCATATATGCATCAGCCATCCACATTACTCTGCAAAGCTACATCCACATATTTTTATGATATAGAGTGTTATCGAACTATGTAAGAGGCTCGTATTTAAGAAGGTACAAGAAAGGATAATTGAAAGAAAAAACTAAGACAAATAAAAGAAAATATTAATCAATGATGTTAGGCTAATACGACAGCTATGAATTTGGACATGGGCCCTTAGAAGAGCCCGTAAAGATATAAAAATTTAATACTCACGTATAAATTTTATAAATAAGAGATGAAATTTACATGTATAAATACACTGTCTCTATTATTGGAGTATGTACTCCTTTACTAAAAATAGAAAAAGGTGATGCTTAGAGAAAATAACCATACAAGGAAGGGTAGAATGGTAAAATATATATATATATATATTTTTTTTCAAATTGAGTAAATGATGCCATGAATCTTCAGTACTCCCGTAATATTAAAAATATTTTCCTACTATTGTTATGTTGTCTGCATACACACCATCCTTTTTGACAAATACTGTTATTTTCGGTGTACAGTTATCTATTACCTTCAAAGGTACCTAATTTATAGATAGGACTCACAAGACCGCCTTTAGATCCAATATCAAATCACCGTTTATTCACTGGACATTTCTATGTTGAGGACAAAAGAGAGAGACTCAAAGGTGGTCCATAAAGGAAACTAAGATGCCTAACCAGCAAAGCAAGGAATACCATATAAAGAAATGGGTACTACTGCTCAAATGACCCAAGAGAGAAGAACCACACTTCAGTCCCCATCAACTTGAAATCTCTCTTTAGGAAATTGAATGAGACAAAATTCACATGACCTGCAAACCCTTCAATGGCCTGATAGGTACAGTCACCATCAAATTTACGTACCCGAATACGAACATTTAGAATTTTCAGGATTATATTTTAAAAATGCATGTCCCCTTTTTTCATATTGGTCAGGAAAGACTGTGAATATAAGATGGTTAAGAGATACTGAAGTTAGCAAATAATCTTTCATCTGTCAAGATCAGCTCAACACTCAGTGGACTGAACACTTTAAGGACGAATGGGTGTTTGTGGGAGTAAGAGTGGTGTGGGGCATGCTTGAAAAGCTTCTCTCTAACTTTACCTTCAATGCTCAACATCATACAATTATGACCTTTTTCAATAATATTGCCCACTTGCTTCTTTAAATTTGTCTCACACCTTGTGATGCCCTAATATCCACGCCTTGCTAAATATCTGCATGGTTTGTTCATGCAATTTTCTAACCCCACCTTTAACTCCCAACATGCATATCATCGCTGAACAACTCAGGTTTCAAAATTTTAAATTATATTGGATTGATCATCATTAGCAGTCATAACCTTATCTTATCTATGAGCAACCAAATTAACAAGAAACATATAGAAGAAATGAGAACATTCAAACAAACATACGTGGAAAAGTATTAGTTCTTAATTTACTCCTTTTAATCATAGATACGTTGGAGCAGCGGTAAAGTTGTTCTATGTGACCGAAAGGTCACCGGTTTACTTGAAAAACAGCATCATTGTAATTATAAAAGAATAAGGTTGCGTACAAGGATTGTCCTCACCCTACCCTCATCGGTCGGGCTTTAATGGGAAATGATGTTAATCATAGATATGATGCTTTAATCAAGAGAAGCCTTCTTTCCCAGAACACCCACTTCCATGAAGAAATGAAAGAAAACCAAGAAAGACAGAGGTAACAGTAGAAACTGTCAACATCAACAATGTAAGGTAAAAAGATTCAGGAGAATGAATGGTTGCTTTCATATACTCTAGACCTTTCCTCTTCTATCAGAAATTCAATTTCCTCCGCTATAAATTCAATCCTGTTTATCACTTCCAATATGATATAGAAAGCGCTCTTGATCAAGTATTCTGCCACCAGCATCACTTCACAATCCGCACTCCAACCAAATTAAAGAGCAACATAAATACAGGATCAATAGCAGTTAGAGATGGTAAAATTTTACTACATAATTTCCACTGTTCTTTTATTCTATATCTTAGTTTCTACTATACTACTACTTTGATTGGTTTGTTTTAACGCCACCAAGAAAACTGTTGTAGGATGAAGCACAGGTGCAAGTATGGGAAGGCTATGTTGATTGGAGGAACAGACCAGCCATTAAAGGACATCATGGTGGCATGCTTGCTGCCTCCTTTGTTTTAGGTAAGTACACTCTTAGCACATTTTTTATGTTTCTCTGATTTTCTAACCACAATGTGATATCAGGTAATTGCAAACCAACAGATCTTTCAGCTACAAATAATTCTTTTGGTTATATTTTTTAAAAATCATTTTTTTTTCACAAATTTCTACATTTTTTTGTGGTAAGCTAGATATGTTTATGCATACATAACATGTTTCTGTTTTTCAAACATTGCAAACCACAGCTGTGGAGGTATTGGAAAACCTGGCATATCTTGCCAATGCAAGCAACCTTGTTTTATACATGTCCAAGATTATGCACTTTACACCATCTAGCTCTGCCAACATTGTCACCAACTTCATGGGAACAGCCTTCCTACTTGCTATTCTTGGTGGATTTCTGGCAGATGCCTTTTTCAGCACTTATTCAATCTATCTAATAAGTGCTGTGATAGAATTCATGGTAAGTTCCTACGTTGAACATATTTTTATGTTTTCAACAACTAAAATACAAAATTAAACTTTTTTGTTTTCATGGATTTTGTAATCTTACTTTTAAACATTTAAAACTTATTCTCAAAACAAATTTCATCAAATATTTTTTTTTTATATAAATATTTTTTTTTCAACAAAATATTTCTTAGAATCAATTAAAAAAAAAAAAAAAAACAAGAACAGAATCAGACGGGCTCTAAGCTTCTACTTTTCTTGTGTTTAAGTTAGTATATTAGTTTTGCAGGAAAAAGATTCAAGACTTACAAGTTTAGGATTGCTACCACACATTACAACATAATTTATAATCATAGGCATCATATGTGGAATGAATACCTTTTACATATTGTTTATCCCCATAGATTGTAGTTCTAGGTAGGTAATTACCATAGGACGGATGAATAATTAATTCTAGAAGAATGAATCAACCAATGAAATCGTAAATATATGGTTTTAAGATTTTCATAGACTTCCATATAGTATAGTGCCCTTTTTCAATCCTCAACCATACTCAAAAATAAAATAAAAATGACAGAGGTGAAGAAAGACAAAAGAAGCATCATCGTTATGATTAGATGCCAGTACAGAGAACTCGTCGGTAACCCAGCGAGTATAGCTCAGTTGACAATATAAATTGAGTAAGTGGAGAGAGAATTTGGATTCAATTCCCACTAAATACATCTTTGAAGAAAGGGCAAAGAGAAGTAAGCCCCTATTCGGGATTAGATCCATAGTCAGTTCAAAGAATTAAAGTTTGTAGGGATACACAGTGGACCGACTCGTCCCAAGCAGGTAATTAATGTAGTGTACCAAAAAAAAAAATAACTAGTTGGTATTCATGTTCTGGCTGGAAGGAAGATCCAATCGTGCTTAACCTTGACATAACTAGATTCTCTGAGTCACAATCTCACTAGTCCTCAGTGTAAAACAGTGAAACAAATGAACCTCTGATTAAGCCAATTTATAAAATAGCTGTCATCATATGATATGATGATTTATCAAACAAACAACAAATCTAACAACTTAACCAAAGAAGCATGGGTTTATCAAATATGTCGAGTTCAATCAAATTCTCAAACATTTGAAGCACATTCTACAGGATAATAGAAACATTTTCTTTCTGTTATCAAGATTATAATTTCCATGTGAGATCATATATTTTAAACATCAAACTACCTGGTGGAAACAGGGTCTATTAATTCTCACAGTACAAGCTCACATACCATCACTCAAATCACCAAACTGCGTTATGGGAAACACCAACAGTCTATGCCAGAAAGTTCATGGTGGGGGTGTGGTTATGCTATTTGCAGGCCTGTATCTGGTGGCACTGGGTGTGGGGGGAATAAAAGGTTCACTTCCTCCTCATGGGGCTGAGCAGTTTGATGAGACTACCCCAGAGGGAAGGAAGAAGAGATCTTCATTTTTCAATTACTTTGTCTTCAGCCTAGCATGTGGTGCATTGATTGCAGTAACTTTTGTGGTATGGATTGAAGACAACAAGGGATGGCAGTGGGGTTTAGGTGTCTCAACTGCATCAATATTGATCTCTATTCCAGTTTTTCTTCTTGGTTCACAGAGATACAGGACCAAGATTCCAGCAGGAAGCCCCATCACAACCATGATCAAGGTATACTTAAAATAAGTAGTAGCAGCTACTCAAAGATATGGCAAGTTGACTAGTCAAATAAGCTTATATGTTACATTTGCTGACAGGTTCTTGTTGCAGCAATTTGCAACAACTGTAAAGCCAGGAATTCAACCAATGCTATCCGGAGCATGGCCACAAGTCCATCCTATACAACTGAAATAGGTGATGGACAAGAAAGTAACAACACTAGAGAAGAGATCATGATGCAAGGTCAAACTCTAACAGAAAGCCTTAAATGCCTAAACAAAGCAGTGATGGAACCACTTCACCCAATGTTAAAATGCACAGTGAAGGAAGTAGAAGAGGTCAAGATTGTATTAAGGATACTTCCCATATTCATGTCCACCATAATGCTAAACTGTTGCCTTGCTCAGCTATCTACCTTCTCAGTCCAACAATCATCCACTATGGATACCATGCTTGGTTCCTTCAAGGTCCCACCAGCTTCTCTACCTGTTTTCCCTGTCCTCTTCATCATGATCCTTGCCCCAGTTTACAACCATGTTATTGTTCCATTCGCTAGAAAAATAACAAAAACTGAGATGGGTATAACACATCTACAACGAATAGGGACAGGACTATTTCTCTCTATTGTGGCAATGACTGTGGCAGCTTTGGTAGAAACAAAGAGAAAGAAAACAGCTGCTAAATATGGTTTGTTAGACTCAGCAAAACCTCTTCCCATAACATTCCTATGGGTGGCTATACAATACTTGTTCCTTGGTTCAGCTGATCTTTTCACTTTGGCTGGTATGATGGAGTTCTTCTTCACGGAGGCACCATGGAGCATGAGGTCTTTAGCCACAGCACTTTCCTGGGCCTCACTGGCTATGGGATACTTCCTCAGCACTGTTCTTGTGTCCATCATCAATAAGGTCACTGGAGCTTTCGGACACACACCATGGCTCTTGGGTACCAACTTGAATCATTATCACCTTGAGAGGTTTTACTGGTTGATGTGTGTGCTCAGTGGACTCAACTTCATTCATTATCTCTTCTGGGCCAATTCCTATAAATACAGACATTAAACAGGCTAGGTCTGAATTCTATAACAGATATATGCATAAACATTTCTTGTATCTGAGTTGTGTTCCCATCCCAAATAGTGAGAGATAGAGACTCACCCTTTCTCCATCCTCTGTTACTTGTACTATAAGCCACATGCATGGACCAATATTCATACAGTTATCTTCCAGTCTACTATAACGTTTATTAATTTTAATCAGTGTGTAGTATACCACATTTTAATTTTAAAATAATCCATTGCCAATTATAAATATAATGATATCGTCAAAATCAAATTGCTACTCATCCAGGATGATTTACTATTCGTACTTTTATTTTCCAATCATCTTGCTTAAAAGAGAGACCATTGATAAATGTATATTGATCAGTGGATGTCTTCCTCTTGAGTAATTAAGAGAAATATAAGTTCAGATAAATTTCATAAATAATAAAGTATGTTGATTGTAGAGGAAATTTTTACATATACTTGATAACCACCTTAATTGGAATGAAAATTTGCAATTAGTTATGGTGTGATAGAGGAACAAAGAACACTCCCTTTCTCCAGACATGTGATATTTGAATTTTGAAGTCATGTCATGTGCGGGCTATGACAGATTTATAATTCATAAAGGTTGCAAACTTGCAATATGAAGAGATTAATATTTTTCATAATATTATATGGAGAATGATATACTTACCACCAAAAAAGTTTACAACTAATCTAATCACCGTTGATTTCCGTCAATCTAACGGTTATAATTTATTAAAAATTATTGGGTAGCATTTATTAATTCCCATAAATTATAACTGTTAGATTGACGGAAATCAACGGTGATTAGGTTGGTTGTAAAGATAGTAAACTTTTTTTGTAGTAAGTATATCCTTCCTCGTATTATATTCCCTATTTCAAAATAATTGTGACTTTAAAAGTATTGTTTATCTCAAATTGCTTGTTATTTTGAAAAACAAACAATACATTAATTATTATTTTAAAATTTTAAAAATACAAATATTCACTAAATCAACTTAAAAAAAAAAAAAACATGACGTAATATCAAACGGCTTAACGTGTCGTTAAAACTACTCTTTCGCAAAAACTATTTGTGATGTTTAGCATTTGCCAATTGGGAAGGATTTCGTGAAATATGTTCCCTGCGATGACATTGATGCTTGGGGATTGTGTGATACGAAACTTATTGGACCAATCAAGAAACAAAAGCATGATAGAGTTTTGGAGTCCGGTTTTAACCAATGAGATTTAGGAGTAAAATTTTATATTTATTTATTTTCAACAATTTTAATTTTATCATCAAATAATAAAGTTTGTGTGTAAATCTGTACCCACCATATTAACACTTGACTTTTCATATAAATTATATTTATGAAAAAAATATTAGCAATTTCAAAATAATATCATTTTGAGATTTAAAAAAAAATACAAAATATTTTAAAAATTGTAATTTCTTTTTAAATCATAAATTTTATTAAAATATTCTGTATGCTCTTTCTCACACCCAAAATGAAGAAAGGTCATTTAGGTCAATCTCTTATTCTCTTTATTTATTTATTTTATCTGTGTGCCCACGGTTTTTAGTCCGGTTCCTGGTGACTTTTTGGTTTTGAAGTCGTGTTTTGTTTAGTCATCTGAATAGTACATACAGTTCTTGCGTTGTTTTGGGAGGGACGATTGATTGAGCAAAACTAAACAACAGGTAATAAATACTTCATATTTCCCTCAGCACTTCAATTCAATTTCAGCTCTACAATTTTTGTTTTTGTTTTGTTTAGATGGAACTCTGCGTAGTAAATGCATGATCGGAATTCCAGCGACTCAAACGTTTTGTCCTTTACCTGCAATGGCTGTTAGAGTTTATCCATTTGGCTAATTAATTATATATTATTATGCTTGGACTTTGTATTGCATTGTGTACGGCATGGCATATATATTAAACCAATGCAATGCAATTTATATTCTTCTAGGTTGTATTGTATCAGTATATGACAACTAAGATGACTGACTAGAATCACCTCGACGAGGTTTTTCATGCCAGCTAGCTTGCAATTCTGACAGACAATATATTGTTGTATATGTATATCCCAACGGAATATACGGTTATAAAACAAATGGGTCATAATTTTTGGTGATGATTAATATAAAGAATAGCACCTATTTGTCTACTCTTGAGGGTTGATTCGCTACTTACTTTATAATTTATGTTAATTGTGAAGAGCTCTCTACCTTCCAATTCTGCTTTGCTTTTTAAAGCCTTTCTGTTAGTTTGAGGTGTCATTCTGATCTTCTCTGTGTTTTATTACTTGTATCTTGTAGCTTTTCCTGTCTCTCTATCTGTTTGCTTGTGGTGCCTTTATCACTTAGAGAGTTGGGGTGAATTCTTTTATACAAACATAACTGCATTGATTTAATGTTACATTTTTAGAGTTACCATCCCTCTTGTTCTCTAGCGTCTATGCAAAAATTTCCATTTGTGGATACTAGCTAGTGCAGGTGATAGTATATATAATGATGATATGATCTTACTACATGGTTTCGTAACTGGTGGTGTAGAGTTCCATATTGTTCAGTAATCTTTTATGGGGTCAATTTATATATTTGGCAAGACTTTCTGACAATTCCTTTGATTTGCCCATTTGTATTCTTCCCCCGGTTAACAGTTGCCTTTGTTTTTTCAACTTTTTCTTGTTTCTTTCAAATGAGTACTAGTCTAGCTTTTTCCCAGTTACAATAATTTTGAGACTACTGTCGGTGACAGAAAATGGCAGCTAGGTTTTATTGTCCGGTCCAATTGCTTTACCATTGTCCATCTTTGCTAGTGCTTTCTTTACTTCAACTTATCATATTCTGCAGTAATAAAGTATAATTTTGATCGTCCTTTCCAATGGTTAAACTCTCCAACTCTATTCATGTTGCATGCCCTTCCTCGAATAGCCTATAGGAATAACTCACTCAGTCTTTTTCCTTGACGTTATGCCTAGTTCCCAAAACTTTTTCATCTTCACCCTTAATGTGCTTCACTTCTTGTGCATTCAAACATCAGTTAAACAAAAAAAAAAAAATTACTATAGTAGAGGCTTGTAGGACTTCATTGGCATGAACATTGATTTCTCTCAAGTTGTGGACTGTGACCCAATGTGTATTAATAGATTTTACTGTTGGTTTTACAATTGGAATGTGTTAAATAATTTGCAGTTAGCTGGATTCTCTGAAGACCTTCTGTCTGTATGTAGTGTTTTTTTTTTTTTTTTGTGGGTGTTTGGTCAAAATCCTTCAAATTTCTTGTATTCCATTCTTACGTGCTATAATTATCATCCTCATACTAGTATCTTATAACTTGTAGAGTTGATTATATGCTGATATATTTTGAAGTATTGCAGTTAAAACCAAATGGGGAATCTCTTCTGTTGCGTGCAAGTTGACCAATCAACGGTGGCTATAAAAGAAAGATTTGGACGTTTTGAGGAGGTGCTTGAACCGGGATGCCATTTCATGCCATTTTTCCTTGGAAATAAAGTTGCTGGTCATCTTTCTCTTCGTCTACAGCAATTGGATATTCGATGTGAGACCAAGACAAAGGTTTGTTATTGTCTGACATTTCGATTATAACCAAATCTTCCATGTCATTTCACGCTTATCAATCCCAATGAATACTTTCTTTTTGGCTAGGACATTCTTTATCAAATGTAAATGGTTGTCATCCTCGTGTTTTGTTGTTTCAATTCCTTATGTTTTCTTAACAATGATTGTCTCTTTCACAAGTACTGGCTGCTTTCAGTACTATCTATTTATGTATAACATGATACTCTGTACATGTTTCTTGTATTTTTCCATGGAATTACAGTTGATTGGTTTTAATGTTTATTTGCTCACAGGATAATGTCTTTGTCAACGTTGTTGCTTCTATTCAATTCCGTGCCCTAGCAGACAAGGCTAATGATGCTTTTTACAAACTTAGCAACACAAGGACTCAAATTCAGGCCTATGTTTTTGATGGTATAGACCGAAACAATGCTTAACAGTACAGAAAAATGTAATAAGTGGTTTAAGCATGAATTATAAGCTAAGGTGAAATTTCAATTCTCATTGCAGTAATCAGGGCAAGTGTTCCAAAACTCAACTTGGATGATGCTTTTGAGCAGAAAAATGAAATTGCCAAAGCTGTGGAAGTAGAACTTGAGAAGGTTTTTTTTTAAATAGTGATAAGGTGAACTATGGATTCAGGTCAATTTGAATCTGATGCTTTGTTCTCTTAACAGGCTATGTCAGCTTATGGATATGAAATTGTTCAAACACTGATTGTTGATATAGAGCCAGATGAGCGTGTGAAGCGGGCTATGAATGAAATCAATGCTGGTACGTTTTTTTTTTTTTGCTAGACAACGAGGTGTCCGCACAATATGCTGGTATGCTATATGAGTAGTACTTGAATGTTCAGTTTCCGCCTCTAATTTATTTTACTCCCCAAAGGTAGTCCATGATTTTTTAGTAATATCTTCCTTTTTCTCCGTGGTACATGCATGGAAATCTATGAAGGGCTAGTTGTAATATACAAGCTCTTATTATTAAGTATTAGATCCTAAATCTAATTTTGTTGCAGAAATTATTCTTTAGACGTTACCATTTTTATCATTATATCAACTCAATCTTGTATGATTTTTGCATGAAGTGTAATTTTGGACTCAAATTGTTGCTAGTTTTTAGTTTACCTTGTTCCTCTGCCGAGTGCTATATGGGAGGGGGATTGGTAATCTCTCCATTTTTCTGTCTTTGATCAGCTGCTAGATTGAGGGTGGCAGCCAATGAGAAGGCAGAGGCAGAGAAGATCTTGCAAATTAAGCGAGCTGAGGGTGAGGCTGAGTCTAAATATCTCTCTGGGCTGGGTATAGCTCGCCAACGTCAAGCCATTGTGGATGGCTTGAGAGATAGCGTTCTTGGATTCTCAGTTAATGTACCAGGGACCACTGCAAAAGATGTCATGGACATGGTCCTTGTCACTCAGTATTTTGACACTATGAAAGAAATTGGTGCTGCCTCCAAGTCTTCTGCTGTATTCATCCCACATGGACCTGGGGCTGTTCGCGATGTAGCTGCCCAAATTCGTGATGGACTTCTTCAGGCTTCTCATCAGTAGTTTATACTCCACCTAGATCTTGTATCTGGTTTGCAAGGGAGTATGGTGAAGCTATAATGCCTGTGGAATTATTTCTGTGCAGTGTGTTTTATGATTTTGTTTGAGTATACTCCTAATTAGTCCTCCAAAGACTACCAAATTACATTAGTCCTCCTAGGATTTTTGTTACCAAATTAGTCCTTAAAAAATTTAAAAGGTCATTACATTCGTTCCTTACAAAGGATTAAAATGGGGACATTAAAAAATTTGATAACTATTTTGTATCTTTAAGGGACTAATTTGGTTAAAAAAATATTTGGAGAATTGATATGGTTACATGTTAATATTTGGAGGGCTAATTTAAGGACTTACTTTTTTTGTTTTATACTTTCAGTCTGTAAATTATTAATGTGGATATGAGTTTTCTACATTGAGAATGATGCATGACTAAACTATCAACTGTCCTCTATATACAAGTTTTCTAGATTGTGAAAGTTGCATATAAGAAAGTTTTTATATTCGGTTTGAGAGTGCTTCATGATAATTGTTAAATCAAGAACTCTGCTTTCTTCACCGTACATCTTTGCACGAGAACTCTGTCTCCATTAAATTACAAATTTATCAAGGAAGTTATGTTACAATATTTTCCCTCGGAATCAGAAGGTTTGAGTGTTCATCTTTTACTAAGAAAATATAAGCCAGCTTTCCTCCTTTACGAATAGAGTTATCCAAAACGAAGTAAAGAATGGAAGTAACATGGCAGCTACCACTTCGTCTAAGAAAAGAAACTAATTCTAAACCTATTTGTTTCAGAGACTACTTTTATATGAATAAGCAGGAGTCAGTTTAAACTTAAATAGGTAAAAATGATAAATAGATATCTATTACTAATACAACAATAATTTTATTCATGAAAATTGTGTATGACTAGAACTAGACATGGTACTCATATGGTTCTTGAATATTGAAGAGAATCGATGACAGAAAAATGAAAGTTTCATCCTGTTTGCATCACCTCTTGAAAGTCTCCATACATCCAACACCCTCTCAATTGGAGATGAAATCTTATCTTAAAGCCATGGAGACTCCAACCTTGGGAAGCTCATTTGTCCCAAAATCCATTTCTCCAGCCATAGTTACAAAAAATCTCTGCCAGAACCCTTGTTGAATAAGAGCACCAACCTTGCCAGAGGTGTCAAGTCGAGCCTTTACAACCGTTTGCGGAAAAAATGCATGTTGAGCACCAATGGTGACACCAGTCTCCTTCATTGACAAGCTATGCTTCACCTCTGCTGCAATGGCAGTCTTGGTTAGGGGGTTCACTTCATGATAACATGAGGCTTTCAGAGTGTCAAACCTATCATGCCTGCATGACACCAAACTTCATCATGACACAATCATTTCAGGCTTGAAGAAAGAAATAGGAGGAGAACACCAAGCAGTAATGATTAAATTCTCAAGTTTAGTGTAGAGTTCACGAATTGATGTTCCTATACATTCATAGTAAATTTAGTCTCAACTTGTAGGATATATCTCACAAGGTCAAGGAAGCAATAAGGAAGGCACTATTGAAGCTTAAACCAGCATTCAGTTTGCTGATTGTCCTTGAGGATATGTCAAAAGCAACATTGGCTCCCAGGGACAGAATGCTTGTTCCTATGAGGCCCGAGAAGTTTGCAACTGGGTCATATCCTCCTCTTTCTGGGTTTCCTAATAATCCAATGCATCCAGTGATCCCAGTGTAGTTATTCAAGTACTGTAGTTCCACCTATGAATTCATTGTGATTCAGGAAAGTAATTAGATGCAATTAAAAACAATCAAAATTTAAAATGATTAAAGACGATACTAAGAGTATACAGGGAAGTAAAAAGTAGTTTTACCTTCCCGGAATCAGGTATGGTACAATTGAAAAGGCTCCTAAATCCAGGTACAATTTCTTCTACTGTAACAGATCCGGCAGCAAAAAGCACTGAAGTCAGACATGCTGCATGCAATTCCATGGCTTTTTCAGGGTTCTAAGAAATTCATGTGGCTCTTGTTCCGGATGGCCCAATAATTGCCGGCCCAAGGTCCCAAGCCCAACCCCAGGCTCCAACCCACGTCAGCCCTGAGGGCTGACATAGATCCTCCCATCCCCCAATGGTGTGACGCTTCCAAAGGGAAGCACCAAAACGTCCCATCTTGGGACCTCAACCCTTAAAGACGACCGTCACAGGCTTCGTAAAAGGAAACTGCTCCTTTGCCCTACGCTGACACCGCCGGGCAACAGAAGGCGCAGCGCTGCTACAACAGCAACGCCTGTCACGCCTAACACTGCCATCATGAAAGTGAATCTCAAGGAGGGTTGACCCCCTCCTCACCAACCAAGTGCACACCACTTTCTCTATAAATAGCCCCCTTGGGCACACCATGAAGGTATCTTATGTATCGTTATTGTGCCCATTTAAATTAAGTCACAGACTCACACACCCAATACCATTGTTATTAACTTGCTTCATCCTTGGAACAATACCTCCTAGCCTGGTCTTTACTTCAGCTAGGGGTATCATCCATACAGTGACATTATCCCCAAAGGGAACATAGTGGGCTTATAGTTTCTAACGGTACAGCTCTCATATGTTGTGGACATTTTTTAGGACTAACTGGTGCAATATATTTCTACGCCAAAGATGGCATACCAAAACTATATGACTATATGAGGTACTGACTACTACTAGTTTCCTCAGTGCACATTAGATGTCATCAAATGAAATGAGGACTGAAAATTTACCAAAAAGATGAAAAGAAATTGAAGATTGCAGAAAACTTTGCATGTGAGTACAAGCACTAAATGGTATTTGTTATGGAGTAAGATGGTATTTTTATCATTGAAAATGTAACTTACTTGCAATTTGGACCTTGATTTAAATTATGTGTATGATTTAGTATTTGAATCATTCAAACTTATTTGACGTTTATCCTTAGCAGAGATAGAAAAAAGTTTGAAAAAATTAAGGACTAAAACACGATATAATTCAAAGAAAAAGAACTTGTTTCAAAACAGAAGTAAAAAGAAGAAAAGGGTTAAACATTACCTTGACAAGAGAGGTCTAAATTCCAGTCCATGAGTTGGTAGTGAAAGTGAACTGGTGATTGTTGAGCATAGTCCTTGTGAAGAACATCTAATACAAAAGTAAAAAAAATTGTGTCAGAATTGTACTGGGAAGACAGCTTTAAGATACCAGATTAGACTTCATTCTGATGAAAAATTATAAAGATAAAACCTCTGGCCTTTTTCCCAATATCAAAATATAACCCAGGACAAGTGCGCATTTTGCTAAGATGAATGCTTAGAAATCAAAAAATTTGTTTTGTGTTTCACCTTTTTGAGAATTGTTGGCATGATGGGAATTTATTGGGTGGAAAAGAAGGGCAAAGGAAGTTTCCTCTTGTACAAAATGATTCACTTGATTGAAATCTGTATAAAACGAAATTTCCATGAACCAATTGTAGCTATTATTTCGTACTCTTAAAGATGATAACTTAGGATGGTGACAAATAGAGAGAGTAGAACTTAAGCTAGCCATAAACAAACACTGATACTACTTGACATTTGTAGACTATCCCTGGACGCTGGCTCTTGTAAATTCCCTTGTGTGCATAAATACGTTGTCATATTTTTCATTTGAAAGGGGAGGGAATCGAACCATAATCTTTTTTTTGTAATACTATCATTATTGCTTTACACTTAAGCATACACCAATTATTAGAGATTTGTTACATTTTTTGAAACATTTCATCTTGTTCATTTTGTCATTGTTTAACAAATGTACTAAAATCATTATTATTTAATTTTTTCTTACCAAAAAATTTAACGACTGGTAGTGGCCGTCGTACTAGGATCAATTAATGGCCAGCTTACCTCAACACAAATAAACACAGAGACTATCAAATAGTGGTAGTTCAGTTGGCGCATCGGAGTTAAGCAGGTGGGGGTGAGAGCATATGTTCGAATTTTCTCAGTACTACTTTTGGAAGGGGCCGGTTTAAAGTTTTAATCTTGACCCACCCCGAATCGGATTAGTTGTGAATCAATGAACCGATTAAAATATTTAAAACAAAAAATAAACACCGAGACTCGAGAGACCGAGCTACAAATGAAAATAAGTAAACGACTTTAGAAAAGTGTGTCATTTTGTTTGGAAAGAAATCCTATTTCCAAACAGACGTCAGCGGATCATTTTAACAGTCCTAGTGCCTCTTTTTCAATCCTCTTATTTTTAAGTTTTTCTTTTCTTTTTATAAGCCGAAACTGAGCCAAATAATTTAAATAAAAACTTTTGTAAGGAAAAGTTAGTTTTTTTATAATAAAAAAAAGTCAAAATTAATTTATTAATTTTTCTTGAATTGTGTTTTTTTTAAATGAAAAAAAAAAGTTAGGTAATAACCAAGCAGCTTTTAATTTATTTATTTTTAACTTTAGGTTAAAAATAATTTCCAGTTTAAAAAAAAAAAAAAAAAACCAAAGAAGCTCCTATTAGATAATAGAACTGAAGTAGCCCCAAAAACAACTCAAGACTAGCGCGTTTATCTAGGAAGTGGGTAAATGAAAATTTAGCAAGCTTATTGCATTAGATAATTTTATAGTATTATATGAGATAAAATTATCTTATATAATATAAAAAAACATTTTTCTCATTAAAAATTCAATATAAAACTAATAAGGCGTCATAACAAAACCGAAAGGGAGGAGCTCAATTAAAGTGAGAGAGTAAACGATGGAGAGAAAGAAAGGAACTAAACAAATGAAAATTTTGTATCAGTAAGAGGCCACAGTCTTTGCCCTCGGGGTGTTACCTTAAAAATGCTTAAACAAGTCTTAAATATTACACTATCATCGGATATCCACTCATTCAAATTATTGTGACATCTTTATGAGTCATTTTTCTCTATGATGTCCTAGTGTCTAAATGGAATTATACGTAAAATAAATATTACACTAGAGTCAATAATAGAATATGATATTTATACAGAATAGCAAAACATACACATTGTGCTACGGAAGGCTCCGAGAGAAGGTTGGAATAGGAGAGCATTTATGTTTGAATGAGTATACTATTTAGATGCTTGAACTTGGCCTCTTACATTTGTCGTGGGAATGATAGCTGGCACACCATTGATGTGTCCTTCGTACAACATAACTAACAACTAGCCCTTGCAAAATCCATACTAATTAAAATTGAGATTTTACGTGAACTCAATCAAAAAGGATAAAAAAAAAATCATAAAATATAAAATTATAAAAATGTAAAAACAATTAGAATTTTAATAAAATCATTTTGATTAAAAAAAAATAAAAATATAAAATCGTAATGATAAATTAAAATTTTAACTACGTGGCCCACATGCACCAATCAACCACCTTGACACTAGCCACTAGCCACCCCATGCATTGTCACACCAGTTACCACCTGAAACCACCTTGATACTACCTACAGAGAAAGCCAAGTTAACAGTGGCTTTTAGACTAAAATATGAAAAGCCAAAAGTAAAAGATAAAATGAATTAGATTTTCTCTGTAGGGTTCTCATAATTAAAAATGCAATGTAGTTAAAAAGATGAGAAGATGAAGAAGAATTGGATGGAAATTTCGAGAGAAAAGAATAGAAAAGGAAAGTAAGGAAAAAAGAAAAAATAAGATTACTTTACAAATTTAATTATTTTTAGGGGATTAAAGTAATATTACGCAGAGAGAGAGTACTAGTTATAAAAAATGGGGAATGCAACTATAATGTTACACGAATAGGAACAATTTTTTCTATTGATACATTGAAAATCCTCCCACTCTTTTATTTTTCTTTCTTTTTTCTTTTTTCTTTTAAGTAATTTCACTTCTCACCATAATTCTCCGTGTGCAGGAAAACTATTCCTTACTCATGCAGGACAAATGGATTTGCCGTAAACAATATGAGCCTCACATTTTTTACACGTTTGGCGCACTCATTAACATGTCTGTTGTGGAATACTTGTCATAAAAATTGCTTGTGACATCACAGTGAGTTTTAGTTTTATCAAGCACTGGGTTCATACATTGAGAGGGGTACGTGCTTCTGGAAATTTGTCACCCAATTAAATTAGTCAGCCACTCCATGCAGTGGCTACCTTAAGTCAATAATAATAATAATATTATTATTTTCTTTTAAAAATTATTCTTCCGATAATTCTATAAATTTTTTATAGACTAATTTAAAAGTTCAAAATTAAAATTTTAAATTTATTTCAAAAGTAATATTGAAAAATATCAAACAGATTCTCTCACCTGTTTAATTACTATCATTTGATCAAGTCAATATTTTTTCGATGTTTATGCCTCAAAACTTGCTGAAAGCAGACCTTCCGTTTGAATTTTCTGATCGACTGCAGTTGTCACGTGACTGTGCATTCACTTTTTTTGTGCCCCCTGCAGGTACGTTCAGATTAAACAGTCATCCCATGCCAATCACCATACCTTCCCACCGAAAATTTATTTGGTGTAACGAAAATACCGAAGTCGTACTCTTTTTTTTTTTTTTTTTAATGTGAAAAGTTTTATCTAATTTAAATTTATCTTTTAATTTGTATTTTTATTTAAATCTCAAAAAAAAATTCTTTTTGGATAAGTTGTGGGTAGATCCGCAACATCTAAAATTTGTTCCTTACTCCAGTTTTTGCAATGGTCACTCCCCCACTTTTTTCGTGCGTGTCTGTGGAAACATTACGTAAGTTTGGTGTCTTAAAAAGTTCCTAATTTGCAATCCCAACTTCCTAGCAACGTTGTAAAGTTTCTTTTAATATGATCGATCTCCACACAAATAAAGAAAAGACATATATGATTCAAGTTGCAGAAGACATTTTTTAGCAAGTGTTAAAAATCAGCATTAATTAACCCTCCCTTCAATGTCACTATAAAGTGCTTTTTTTGGGCTCTTTTTGTAAACCGCATACTAGGTAAAGGCCAAAATAAAGTAATAACAGTGAAAGTCATACAACTCCATAATCAAGAACTAGCTAATTGAAATTGCACAACATAGAGAAACAAACATTTAAGGACGTGTTGACGTAATGTATTTTTTAAACCAATTTTAAATGTAAGAAAACATGCCTACCCAAACATGTTGGCAGAAAAGTCTCCCCACAACGGAAGAGCCAGTACCCAAAATTTCTCCCACCATGTTTGTTGTCTCTTGCCTCCCACCTTCACCCCCTACGTTCCACCTTTCTCTTATTTCGAGTTTTGAGCAGTACCCACTGTCAATCAATTTGATTACAACAAAAGAACATTATGACAACTACCCACTTTCCCGTCCTTTTTTCACTCCTTACAATGTTATTCATGACAGCTTTTTCAAACACTAAAACAACTGTTTGTTCCTTTCCTCATCCAAACTGATTCATCACCATCATCCCTATTCTCCCATAATAGAGCAAAATATATTTTCATCCCTAAAGAATTATCACTTAAAAAAATATATATAAAACAAAAAAAAAGAAGAGAAAAACCTAGTCTTTGAATTTGAATAATCTACATCAAACGATCAGTTAAGCTGGGAAGTCGCCGGAAAAAATTCAAGCTGGCCGACGGCATAGGATTCCGAAACATTGGGTGGCGCAGGTAATAAAATCCTAAGGCCACAGCCACCATTTTTGGCGGCACCGAATACAATATTATAGTGATTGCAAGACATATTCCTATGAACAACTTGGTGGCCCTGGGATCTCTCCAACTCACCAAAGCTTGAACCCTTTCTCCCTGTGTTGCAAAATCACCCAACACCGTTTGAACTCGTGCAGCCAACATCCTTAACCTGTCATACCGAACCCGAATTACATCGGGTGGCTTTGAACTTGGCATTGTATCAAATTCTTCATCTAACTCATCCGGGTCAACTGCTTCGGCCTGCGACAACCGAGTATCCATTCCAGCCGGTATCTTGGGTCTAAACCGGTAATACCATATCCCAATCATAACCACGTATAAGAACCCAGTGGGGACAATCAAATCCGGATACCAAACAAGAACTAAATAGAGAATATGTAACAGTACAGTGGTCATGGGATTCTTCCACCTTCTGATTTCATCTAACCACTTTGCCAATCCTACAGCCCAAGCCAACACCGCCACAATTCTGAACCAATTGGCCTTGCTCTTTCTCATGCTCCAAGCGTGTGAGTCCGCATCCAACATGTAACGAACCACCTCGTGTCCCAACGGCGGCTCCGACCGCGCCAGCCACTGTGCCACCATCTTCGTGGCAGCGCCGCGCAGAGCCTCCTGCTGTGCCACCCCGAGAGGGCGGAGATAATGCATTCGTGGAAGCAGAGGCTGGCCATAAACCGCTGACGTGTCCAGCAACAACGAGGGACACGCGAACCGAACCGCCAACTCGATTTCACCCATCTTCTTCAACCCGGTTCGCATTAGCATTAGCAGTGGATATGAATTGGTGTATACCTTGTTACTCTCCAAAGTGGAGACACGTATGCGTACTTTACCAACACGACAATCGGGTTGGTCATCTGCCACGTCAGCGAACATGCGCCAGTTGTCAAATACTCCAATGGTCAAGACCGTACAGGGGTCGTAGACCTGCCACGTGTACTGCTCGTTCCAGCGTGGATCGAAGCTGTCTGTTACTGTGCGTGTTCGGACCCACTTTTTACCATATTTGGCAACACAGTAAGCATCTGTGTTGGTCTTTCCACCGCCTTTGGATTTCATAGGGAGGAGGCCGCGAGCGCCGAGGATGCCCAGTTCCAAAATTCCGATGGCTGGTTTCCACAATTGTTTCGCCGTGGGGCGGAAGTCGCTGCACACGTGCGCCGCTTCGTCCAGCACGTGATAACCGCCCTCCAGGCAGAGGCGCAGGTGGATTCGGCCGCAGTAGGACCCGCCCTCCAGAGGGAACCATTTAGCTACCACGTGTCGTTCGTCAATTCGTTGCTCGACTGAGCTCAGAGGAATCACCACGTGGCCTAGGAGCACCGCTTCCTTGGTCGTGCGATCTTCCATCAGAAGGATGACGGAATCTTCTAGAGGCTCCCCGGCGACGAAGAGAAGGTCCTCGTTCCAGTGAAATGATAAGCTGCGGTGGTTCATCGACCCTCGCCTTGTTCGCTGCGATTGGAACCCTAATTGCACCTTCGCTCGTATTTCGGGCGCTGTCAACGGCGGCAAATTCGGAGTGATGTTAAGGTCTTGAGCTTCGATTATCGTCACGCGCAAGTACCATAGCTTCGGTGACTGGTAAACCTTAGAGCGCGTGTGTGCCACGTACGGTGCATCGGAGCTCCATGCTTCCGGGAAGGCGTCGTCGGATTGCGTGCCGATCCACACGGAGAGCTGAATATCGCCGGAAACTCTTCCATCGGCGGCGCCTCCTTCGAGGCGGTACCATTGCGGCGCCAAGGGGCTGTCTGGAGGGTCTCGCACAGGCACGTCGGAAAGATCGAAGCAAACGCCGCCGAGAAAATGCTCCGTTTGGGATTCCCAAACCGAAATCTCCAGTGTAGCTCCACTTGCATCGTTCTTGTTGTGACCCAGCGCAAAAACCTGGTTCCACTCCGGCGAGTCGTTGGGCTCGTTGGGACGGTAACTCGCAGGCTTTGATCTCACATAGTGACTGGACGTTCGAACCTTCACGAAAGGGCTATCGTTAGGAGCAAGCCCGCGAGCTTTCACGATTCTCACGAACAGATACTGCATGGGCTCAACCAGATCGAAAGGATGAACCCTCTCAGATTCAACGCCGGCACGCTTGCTGGGAATATCTTTCGGAGAGTAATCACCGCTAGGCCTCTTCAAAATCCTCACTCTCTCCCCTCTGTTGGCCTGCATTTTCCTCATCTCCGGATGGTACTGCATTTCCGGTGCCGGAGGATCACACATTTCCGGCAACGGCGGATGATCCTGCTGAACTTGAACCACCGGCGGCGGAGATGGTTCCATAATCACAACACAGGGCGAAGGAGGAGGAACGCAATGCTCAATATGTCCTGGACCCTCCGGTGGGTGGTTATGCTCTTGCTCTTGACCCTCCTCCTTTTGCGGAGGTGGCGTCGGCGGCGGTGGCCCTTGATCCTCAACCATCAACTCATCGTAGTAATAAATTTTGAGGCCAATTTCGCCTCTTATCCAACTGAACACGCTCTTCTTCTCCAGTGTGAAGTAAACGAGAGCTTCTTCTCCTCTCTTGGAGAATTGTGTTCCGTAGAGCTTGACCCTGCCGAGGAAGTGGTTCTTTCTGCCGCTTCCGTTGCCGTACTTCTTGTCGTTGTAGACCTCGATGTCAAGCTCTTCGTACTCCATGTTATCTGGGTCGGAAACGATGAACTCAAGGGACTCGTTCCAGACCGGGTTCAGGTCCTTGAACCGGGTGGTGGTTCGTTTCCTCTGCCCGTCGAAGTCCGCAACGACGTAAGCGCTGGAGCTTCCCTGTCCATCTTTGGGGAGGAGGTTGCGCGCGTCGACTACTTCAACCACCAGTCTTCTCACGGTTTGTGGTTGCTGCTGAAACGGCGTCGTCATGTTCTCATCTTGGTTGGGCTTTTGCAAGTTTCTTGTTTCGTTTTGATTTGTTTTTTCCGTTGAGCTTAGAATTGCAGCTACAGCGAGCGAGGAATGTGGGATTTTTTGGACAAGCACAGTGCCCCTTTGATAGCGGTGAATGTGATGTGCGTTGAGCAGAGAAATAAAAAAATAACAAAGAAAGAAAGGTTCGTTTTGTGTGAATGTGTTGTTTGTGGGTTGCTTTTTTATTTATTTTATTTTTCTGTTGGGATGGCTTTTGAAGTTTGTTGTGATGACAGTGGGCAGATTAGATTCCATGCTCTCTCGCGAAGGATTTCTTTCCAGCTTTTCAAATTCCCTCCACTGCGAGTTCGTTATCCACCTCACCCTTTTTCTTAATTATTTTTTTTAAGAATAAATTTATATTTGTTTATTATTATGTTGCTTATTTCAATCGCTTGTTGTGGCTATGACTGAGCACCTCACTTTTCCTGTTTTCCATTCTTATTTCTCTCTATCTCTTTCTCTTTCTCTTTCACTGTGTTGCACTAATGTCCTAGTCATAAACAAAAAGTCCTTATTCTGAATTGTATGTTTTAAGACTTCAAGTGCTAAATGCACATGTGCACTTTGTCAAGTGTTAGTGTTCACCAATTTTTTTATTTAATTGCTATACGAACAGTGTTATTTTTTAATTTGTCACGGGGGCAAGTTTGTTACCCGGTGTAGCGAACTCAGTTTGCTGACGTGTCACATTTCTAGTGGATAACAAATATCAAATTAAAAAAAAGAGAGTATGAAGGTTGCTACATAGGGTAGCGAACTTGGTTAAAACCAAATTCTCTACCCCTTGTAGCGAACTTGGTGTCCACTAGAAATGTGACACGTCAGCAAATCGAGTTCGTTACACCGGGTAACAAACTCGTCCCCATGGCAGATTGAAAAATAAGACTGTTCGCATGACATTTAGGTAAAAAAATTGATGAACAGTGACATTTTAGTCACTGTTCCCACTTTGTGATTATAAGATTTGATTTGAGAAGAGTGTTATCTTTTTCTGTAATAAAAATTGAATTTTGGATTTGTTAATATCTTCTGTGTATCATAATATCATTTTCAGGAACACTTTTTGGTCTTCCGCTTCCCCTTCAACAAGAAGTAGGAGAGACCAGTAGAGAAACTTTACTTTTGCACGCTGTTTCCTACAACTTTAGATCTCTAGTTTGCGTTATTGTTTTGATAAACAAAACTTATTAATTTATCTATAATATTTAACAATGAAATATTTTATGTAAGAGGAAGTGAACTTGAGATTGAGATGAGTACAAAAATGGCCATATCTAGGACTTGTAGTCTATAACTGAATCAAATTATCGACGAAAGCTAAAAGCCTCAGCAGGAAGGCACATGATTCTGTGTCCCACCCATGGGCCCTTCCTTTTTGTCAAAAAGCACCTACGTTTTGAATAAAGTTCGAAGACAAAGCATCACCTTTAACCCGCCCCTTTGGTTCCCTTATTCTTTCTCATGCCTCACTTGTCAACATCTAAATCTCAAAACTCCAAGTACCTTTCCCTTTATATTTCAAGCAACTATTGTCTATTGGTTATACTATCTAGTGTTCCGGAAGCTCCTAGAGAGATACAATTCCATTATATGATATCCCAACTGTGTTCAACAAGCTCTTCTATTTTCAGCATTTCGGAATTAGCCAACGATGCATTGTGTTGTATAGTTCTTTCTTATCCTTCTTCTACCTTTGAATAAGAAATTTGAAAATGTTTTGGGAGGTTTATACATTAATATATCTTGAAAGAAAAACAGGAATATGAATCACTTCACTTCAATTTCACTTCTAATCAAAATTAATTTTGCAAAATCAACATCATCCAAAAGGCCAAAATTACCCAAACACATAGAAGTTAGGACCATTAGCTCACAACTTCATGGTACAGATGCCGAATAAGCTTCTCTTTCCCGCATCAGCATTATGCTGTTTTTTGCGCTTTTTAAATTGGTGGACTACTTGTGGAATCTGATCCTGTAGGATCAAAAGTAAATTTTGATATGTTGCTTTTCCGATTCTGCATAATTTGGATCAAGTTACTGGATGAGGTCAGGGAAGAACACTGTGGTTTAAAGAATCATATGCAAAGGAGGTCTTGAAAAAGAAGAGGTGATGTCATCTGGCTTGTAGCTTTATTTTTGGCGGTTTCGTGACAGGATAGAAGCAGACATAAGATTGTTGGATAGAAGTTAGAGAGATAGAAGTTAGAGAGAAGAACTAAGCATTTGAAAAAGAAAGAACTTGGAAGAAGGTTTTTTTAGGAAGATGACCTTATGATTAGTATCTCTTTCAAGACTGCCTTGATCAGATGCACCTGCTGTATGTAATATGCATCACCTCTCTCTTTCTTTCGATTCTCCCCGGGAATGCAAAGAAGAAGAAATTTGGTTCGCTTTAAAATACTTTGTTTAGATTAAAACTGAAAAGATAAGTACTTGACTTTGATTAGATTGCCATAAACTGAGGATAAAATTATGTATGCTCTATGACAAGGACAATTTAAGCAATTTTTTATCTCTTAGATCCACAAGTTTATGATCATGAGGGTAAGACTTCTGACTCTGAGTCTTTAATATATTATCCATCTCATATTCCATTAGAGATGGAGAATACAAAGGTGCAACAGGCAGGAACCTATCCCAATTAGCCCTCTTTTAAGTTCTCTTCAATCACTCTATTCATCTCACGTGATAAAGTATTTATGACATGCCAAATCAAATCAAATTATGCATGCAGATATTAAGATTAGAAAGAAAGAAGGAGAAAGCAGAGATATAATTATTTTTGGTTGAATATCTACATGATACTTTATTCTATATATACATATAAGAGGCACTTGACCTGAAGTGGGGGGGACATACATTTATGGATGCAGGCCAAAGGACTTATGGTGCTGTTGAGGATTGAAACTGATGAGATACTAAAAGCCCCAAGGAAAAGGCTACTACAGCTGTTATAACAATTCCTTTGTTTTTCCTCAAAACCTCAAGTGCACTTCTTAACATGGCACTTCTTAACATGGTTCCTTGCGCATTTTCATTTCTTTTTTCTTCCTGCTCTGTATGGTTGTCATGTAGACTGGGATCTCTCCCCTCATTTTCAGTATTGGGTTCATGGCTATCATTTTCTTTTGCTCTTACAGCACTACCATTCTCAGCTTTCTCAGTCTCACTTTCTTTGTTCTCTTTTGCATTTCTCTTGGGGACAGTCACGTAAAGGATTCCACCATCAAATTTTCCTTCTATCTTATCCATATCTGAATCCACTGGTACCGGAAATGTCAGCTGAAAATGAACACGCTTCCGCTCATTTGCTTGCCTTTCTCCTGTTACAATTATACGGCCATTGCTATCAACCTGAAGCTTCACCTCTTCCTTACTGAATTCTGAAGAAACAGGATGAAAAAAAAGTTTCATGAGTTATTCTTGTTTTCATGACATCAATCCTTGCTAAGAACTGTACAAGAAGTCCATGTGAATGTTATACTAACTAAATGATTCTTGGGTAAATAAATGGCACACAAACACCTTAAACGCAGACAGATTTTTTCAGCTAGATGATTCTCAGAGGAATCAAAGAAGCAAGCCAAAATATATATAACTAAGCATTGATCTCTCTACGGGGTTTATTCTTCTCAGTTTATTTGCATATTCTTATTCTTCTCTGTTCAGAAAGTCAATTATGTGTTTAATGCAATACCAGGAAGATCAACTAGAAGATAATGGCCAGCAGAATCCTCTGTCCATCCAGAATTAGGTACGATCTCTTCAACAACCGGAGTTTGCGCGCTTGTTCTTACTCCAACCCTTGCAGTAACTCTAGGACTGGTGGCCATTGAGGATGAACTAACAACTGATATGAACCTCAATATTGCAAGAAATTGGTATAGAAGAAATGTTAAATGTGCTATAATTTGCACAATTTGTATGCAACCTACGGAAGCTTTATATTTGCTTCTATAATAGGACAACGTTAGATTAGATGAGCTATATAATTGCGTGCTCCGGTTTCCATGTTTCCCTGATGGTCAAGTTCTATGGCATGGCTTGCTTTCCTTGCTTGAACATTCTTATTCCAAACTTGAGCTGCAGGAACGTGAAAGTTTATGTGGTGGCGACCTGTGTAGTTTTGTAACGTGTGCAAAAGCAGACTATTCCTTTCTTTGCTTATTTCCATGCCAGGCACCCCCTCTTTCGGCGGAGTCTTTGGAACCAATATTTCATGATTTAGTATTTTTTTTTTTGGGTTATTCTTATCTTAAGGTGACCACGTAAAGTATTTTTTTTTTTTTTCTTAAAAATAAAAAACATTTCTTCATTTTTAAATATCCTCCCTATATAATCATCTGTTGATTATACCTAAACGAAATATTTTTTATAAAAGATACACATTGTTAGCTTTAGTTTGGAGATTTATATAGTTTGCTCTACTTAGTACACTATAAGGATTAATAAGTATTTAATTAAATAATGAAAAGAGATTCTTATGTGCTTATATAGCAGCAAGCTAAGTTCGTGACGATTTAACCCTTAACTTGTTCATTTGCTTTTACATATCCTACAAGTGCAAATTACTAATAGATATTGGAAATACATCCTTGTATTTTAATTAATATGACTATGTCATTGTGGAGGAATCTTAACCATATAAAAATGAATTAATGGTGATGATTTTGTAATTATCCATTTTTATATTTTTTTCTCTCTTTTCCTTTATCACTATTAATCTAGTTTTTTAATATGACATAATCATGTTAATTAATACATGAGAGGATCCGTCCCGATAGATATTATGTATTGATTTGTGTCAATTGGTAGTGCAAACTACTAATTGTTATATAAAAAATATGTTAAATTCAATTTCATAGATACAAATAATTGCCCGAGCCCGACATATTCAAGCAAACAGACAAAACAAGCCGTCCAAATGAAAGGCTCTGCTCTCTTTCCTCAATGCTTCATTTTTGTATTTTCCCTTCATTTAGAGTTATAGTTAATGCATATATCTTCCCCATCTTTAAAGGATTTGAACTTTTTAATTCCTACCGTATCTAAGAGTATAGTTGTTAAAATTTCGATTTATCATTACGATTTTATGTTTTTATGATTTTTTTTTTTATCAAAATGATTTTACCAATATTTCAAACATTTTTATATTTTTATTATTTTTTATGATTTTTTTACCTTACAAATTTATGTTTTACGATTTTTTAATTCTTTCTCAATTTTACTTAAAATCTCGATTTTAACCATGTTGTACAAAGGCTTGCAATATCCCGAGAATATATAGTAGCATATGGAGCGGAATCTACGCATCCGCTTCTGTTGGTAATTGGTATTGTTCCATATGTATATTTATTTACACACAGAGAGAGATATAACGCTAAGAAAATCTAATAATACCGCGTACATAGGGACTAGCACAAAGTCAGTGAAGAAAACTTAAAAATGCTAAATATATAATTAATAAAAGAAAAGCAAGGCACTAAGAACTTCAGGAGAAAAAAAAAAAAAAAATGATGGAATGGAATGGAAGCTAATAAGCTTAGATTGCTCTTCTTTTGTGTATTTTATTATCTTGCTGTATCCCCTACCCTCAAGGCTAACATAGCTCACTTTGACCAAGTCTGGCAGAAGCGATCTCAGGAAGCCAAAAAAGCTGCACTCCAAGCTTTCATGCCAAACCCTGAGAAAGAAACTGTTGATTTCAATAACCACGTCAACAAGTATGTCTGTTTTCTACACCATCATATAAAAAAAAAAAAAAATTGCTCATGATTGAGTTCAAGCTCAAGCTTTCATTTGCTTGTTAGAATATAATGCAACAACATTGATGATGTAATCTGAAAGATACTAATAAATTTTATAATGGCACAAGAAGGGGTTTATCCACCAAATACAGTGGTGCATGCATGGCCACAAAAATCCCATTGACAGTTGCTGGAGATGTGATCCAAATTGGGAAAAGAACCGCAAGAAGCTAGCAGATTGTGTTATTGGTTTTGGTCACGGCACGGCACCACTGGAGGCAAAGATGGTCAAATTTATGTTGTGACTGATCCATCTGAACCCCAAAACCAGGGACTTTTGAGACATGCAGCCATTCAAAACGAGTCACTATGGATCATTTTTGCTCGTGATATGATCATCAAACTGAGTGCAGAGCTTCTACTAACTGATAATAAGACAATAGATGCACGTGGTGCCTCCGTTCATATTAGCAATGGTGCCCAAATTACGTTGCAGTTTGTGAAAAACATTATCATTCATGGGCTGCATATCCATGATATTAAAAAAGGTGGTGGTGGCCTAATCAGGGACTCGGTGAATCACTATGGATAGATATCGCACGCTGAGTGATGGTGATGGAATTTCATTGTATGGAGCTACTAATGTTTGGATAGATCATATTTCTTTGTCAAATTGCGATGATGGCCTCATTGATGCCATCGAGGGATCTACAGCCATTACCATCTCCAACTGCCATATGACACACCATAATGATGTAATTAACATCACTTCTACTTCCTACCTTTGAAGAATTATTTTGGTTATATGAATTTATTTTGTCATGCAGGTTATGTTACTGGTGCGAGTGATGGCTCCTCAGGGGATAAAGTCATGCAAATAACTCTTGCTTTCAACCATTTTGGACAAGGACTGGTGCAGAGGATGCCAAGGTGCAGATGGGGTTTCTTTCATGTTGTCAACAATGACTACACTCATTGGCTTATGTATGCCATTGGTGGTAGCCAAAATCCCACCATCATCAGCCAGGGCAACCGATTTATTGCTCCTTCGAACCCAAGTGCAAAAGAGGTATGAAGGCAAAAGTTAAGTTAATCTTTCTTCTATGACTTTATCCCACTGAATTCTCAATGCCTTTCACTAATGGTCAAAATAATATATTCTAACAAGTTATTGTGCCTGCTAATTCTTCAAATTGTGAATGACAAAAATATGACACTATTGTGCTTCATAATTTAGGTGACAAAGAGGGATAATGCATCAGAAAGTGTGTGGAGAACATGGGATTGGAGATCAGAGGGTGACTTACTGATGAATGGAGCCTTCTTTACTGAGTCTGGGAAAAAGGTCACAAATTTTCCCAAGACAGACATCACTGCAAAGCCTGGGACATATGCAGCAAGTCTCACTCGCTTTGCAGATGCTCTAAAATGTGTAGTAAACAAACCATGCTGACAACAAAATATAGCTACTTAACACTGGAACAGAGGCTGACCGAGGTTATGTCTGATTAAGCCAGACATCAGACCCGAAGCCTTTAGTCTCGTACTTCTGTGGTATTTCTCTCACTTTCTTTCCCCTTTTTTTTTGTTCCCTTTTCTTTTCCCCTTGATCATAATTTGAGAAATCAAGGGACAAAAGAATAGTGAGGACCTGAGATGTAAATATAAAGTAAAAGGGCAAGCAACTACTCAGAAAGCATGGGTACAGATCAATTCCACCGTAGATTCGTATTTATAAAATCATCATCACGCAGGAGTGCTCGATTTCCAAGGAATGTTCCACTTTATGTAGGGATAGCAACATGAGTGTATTTTCATTTCAGATGTCTGTTTATCAGAAAAATATTTTCAATATCTATAAATACAAAATAACATATCGATATAAGTGGGAAGAAAGAAAACCCTCACTTAGACGCGGACTTCACCTTATCATATCAGGTATATACATTTCATATCAATCTTCGAATAAAATTTTACATCATTCACAAAAAACTGAGGCTGGGAACATCATGTTCATTTTACAGCGAACCAAACAATTCAACTTTCTTCTTTTACATAAACTAGTCCAATACATGAAGGAATGAATTCAATCTATCCGTATGAATCACATTAAGTAAACCAAAATTCTGAATCACTCCTCCTCCACATCAAGCCCACCAATCCGTTGTCGTCTCCTGTCAAAAACAGCTTTGAAAGATTCACGTTCGGCCCGGATTCGTTCTTCAAATATGCTGTGCTTCTTTGGCTCCACATTATTACGGGTTGGACTCTCCTCTTCAGGTAATGGATTTGACTTCTGTACATAAATACAATACAAATAGTTTAATAAAGGTATCTTCCCCATGAAAAAGTGAACTAGATTTTTCATCCTTGTAGAAAAACAAAAGAAGATTTCAACTTGGTCAAAAATTAGTAAATAGAATGCTAAACACACTACAGATATCTTCCGCAAAAAATGGAAAAGAAAAGAAGCACAACCTTAAAACCAAACATCTCGCTCACATATGTGATTAGCATAATTAACTCAAAAAAAAAAGGACAACTAAATAATAGTAAATCTTGGTCCTGAATTTAAGAAACGTGAAATCAAAGTATCAAACAACTAACCAGGTTGTATCCAGCACCAGGTCCAATCACTAAAGACAAAGCATTTACCTTCCTTGCAGCGCCTATTGAAAACCCTGTCTTGCCAACCTGAAAAGATAATTGCAAAGAAAGGGGGACGGGGGTGCTGAGATTAAGAAAATGCCTATAATGAAAGCCAAAAAAGCAGGTTGTACCGCTGTTTTTGTTGTAGCCCTGTTCAATAAACAACAAACCTATAATTGTAATACACTTTTTTTTTTTGGGTGAGGTAATTGCAATACACTTAACTACAACGGTTTAACTCATTTCCCTTTTTCTATATTTCAGTATCCCTTTTCTTATATTTCAGTACCCTCACGGCCTCAAGCAAGCAAGAGGAAAAAAACAAAAACAGAAAAAAAAAAGTACATAAAGTATGGAAAAAATGCACCTAGAAATATATATTTGTTAGAATTAAAAAAAAAAAGAGAGAGAGAGAGACCAATGAGCTGACAGCTCAGATCACATGGCACTGACCACCGTCTTTACCATTGTGTACTTGATGTCATGGGTTCAATCCCTACACCATCCCCTTTCCCTTTCCCTTCCCCCTTTACAAGACCTTCTATGTAACCCAAAAAGAATTTAAACGAGAATTCAACTTTTGCTACCAAGAATGAAACAGGCTTCAAATAATACTTCCTAAGCTATCAGGCAGTGGCAACAAACACATATCATACCTGATCACCCCAATGTACAGTTTTTCGTTCCTTGCCATATTGATGAATTAACCCAGACAGAGCATTAATATTGCCCTTCATACCTTCAGTTTTTTCAATGTCATCTTCACCAAAATCTTCTGACCATTTGCTTTTACCCAATTCTCTGACTTCCGTTGGATGTTCCCCTTCAGCATCCCATCTCTTCCCATCCTTTAAGGAACCTAAATTTCAAAGGGCTCCGAAAACTTTGATCAAATTATAATCCAGGGATGATAGTGCATAGCATGAAAAGTACCAAGCAACATTGAATTTCTACAAAAAGTTGAAAATGAATGCATTTTCATTGACAACATAGAAATCGAGATATTGAATACAATTAAAGGGAGGGAAGGGTTGATACTTTATTACAACATAATTTAACACATTACTAAGGGCATAACTTGAAACTGAGCTAACTCAAAACAAGAAGGTAAAGCTCTTACAATATAAAAAATATATGCAACACTAGTAGGAGTATGGTGAATATGCATTCGAAGAAGTGAAACACTCCATAAATCCCATATAAAAAACCACTCCAAGGACAACAAGTGACAAAAGCACAAGGAATTAAAGCTAAATAGATTACTTCATTCAAAAAGGGAAAAAAATAAAAAAAAAGGTCTTAATTTCCTTAATTATCATGTCAATAGTCAGTATAAATTGTACGTTACTCCCTAAAGTATAATGACTTTGTCATGTTCTAGAGACAAAGATAAAGGGATGAAAAAGGATTAACATGAGTAAGGGGAGGGGAGGGGAGAATAATAAGATATCAAGATATACTCCCACATTATCCTGATTACTTATTTTTCTAACTTAAACCAGGTTAAGCGCCTCGTTTATAACCTTATGCCAGCCCGATCTCACCCCAATATTATAAAGAAAAATAAGATACCCAATTACATATCGGTTGGGCATCACTGATCAGATGCACCCAAAAAAATGACTTTAGCAGCATATAAAAAATACAGCCATACAAACAATAATGGGTTAAAGCACACTACTTGCATCATCCCTGACAGGAGGGTCAACAACTTTCTCATCTTCGCTTCCTTGCACTGCAGGTAAAGCATCGCTAACATCATCTTCCATATCCATGTCTACCTGGAATATATGTCATATGAAACCAGTCATAACAGGGACACCACCTCAAGAATTCGTATATTAAACAGACTGAATTTCTCATTTTAAAATATTCCAGCATCTCCAGTGATAAAATCAAATAAACAGCCAAACGGTATTTGACCAGAACATATCCCATATCTAACATGATAGCAAGTCGCCAACCATATGTTATACTACAAATTAAAACAATTCTAGTCATTACTATAGCCAGATGATCAAATAAAAAATCACAAATAAACCCAGTGACACCTAAACAATTGGTTTTCCTTTTGTTTTCCTATTACAAAATTATCGGCCCACACATCAGGACAGAGAAACTTAAGATAGATGAACCAATAATCAATATCCCGAAAACCAGACAGATTATTGAACTTTATCAAGAGGAGTATTAAAAGAAATAAATAAATTATCTCCAGCAATATTATATGGTTTTGTAATTCAAATGGCAACTACACATATCATTCAATTCAAAACTACAGAAAAAACATACATGTTTGACAAAACATATATGACAGAGGACCCAAAATTCTATAAGATGTATATTAACTTACCAATATTTTTGGATGATAAATAATAATAAACGGACAACCTGGTGCTATAAATCTCTCGCTAAGAGTTAAAGGAAGGCTCAAACCCATTGTGCGGGTCAATAGTAAGCTGTCTTACCTTGTATCGACAGGAGGCCGATTACAAGATTTGAACCTATGACCTCCAGGTCACATGGCAACAATAAGGCTCCCCTTCTGAATGGTAAATAGTAATAACATACATCAACATCAACAACACCTTTATCCCAAATTAATTGTGGTCGGTGAAAAAACCACTCCCGGTTAAACCCGACTAGCGAGTGTGGGGTGGAGGCAATCCTTGTACACAGCCTTACCCTTGCATAATTGCAAAGAGGCTGTTTCCTGGACTCGAATCCATGACCTTTCAATCATGAAAGAAAGGCTTTATCACTGCTTCGGTTCGCCCCCCTTAACATAAAAAATAAAATAAAATAAAAATAAACCCGAATTTTTTGAACATATTTTTAAGTAACCATGAATACATGTGACATTCATTTTATACCTTGAACCATGTTAAGTTGTTATATAATAGTATATAATAGTAACAAAAATATTTTATTAGTTACTATATAATCCATGGTCACTAGAATGCTAGGAAATAAAATAATTGTTTACAACCATTACACAGAGAAGCATGCTTGCTGAATGCCCAGCAAGGGTCATCCACATGCAAGGTGCTGAGTTCAACATAACACTTTTCTATCACAAAATTGACCCGACACAACCCAACCACAAAATCTAGCTCTGGTTGATCAGTTCATCCAAAAACCAGCCAGGATGCATGGTCAAACACAGATTTTGATCAAAATAATTTATGAAGGTCAACTAGGGAGGCACCTGGACCAGTTAATGGTTCAACCGACCAGTCCAGATTTTCAAAACACTTCTAGTAACTATTCAGAGTCATGCATCCGCCAGATAGTGCAGCTATATTATTCTCCTTCTACTACGGAGAGGTTTCTTCTTGACAAGTCCATTGGGAAATCTAAAAATCTCTTCCAAGTCTAATATTTAGTTCAGACAGCATCATTCAATAGAATAAACTAAAAAGACATGTTGCATCTACATAATCCTCACACAGCTCTTTAACCTTGTATGCGTGTTGGGTAGACTTAGCTGAAAAGCAGAAGCTCATTTATTTTTAAGTTATTCAGTGGGTATTTTGCTTTAGAATTTTATTTTACTTTTTGAAAATATCGGTAACATTGGGTGTGTCCTTACATTTTGAAACAATTTATCTTGAAACAATTTAAAGTCTTTGGCAAGAACAAAGAAATCAAATTTTGGTGTCTGCGAGAAGTGTAAGCACTTCTCTATTGTATTTGGTTAGAGGATAATGCCCATATCCTCAATGGCATCTTTAAAGGATTGTGTTTATAGCTTCTGTTTGTTGTTCTGATCGAGGCAGCTTAGAGGGGGGTTGCTAATTCTGATTTACCGGGAGGTTGGACCACTTTCTTGAATTTTGCAGACACTTTAGCTCTATGTTTTCTCTCAATTTGTTTTGCAGGATATATTATCCTCCCTTAGTTGGGCCTCTCCCCTTTTCTCCCTATAAAATTTCATCTTTAGCCCCCACTCCAAAAACAAAAGACCATGTTAAAGCTGGTCCCTAACACTCAAAAGGCATATAAAATCTCAAAAGATAAATATATGCAAAAGCTTCCATCACCTCCTTAATTCTGCTTTCCTTCAGATCATCTCCATGAAATAATGACTGTCAATTCAGTAAAAGATACACAATTAAGTTACAAGAAGCCATTAAATCCATACAAGTTATTCTATTTTGGCCTAATAATGCCAGCACTTTCACCCAAACAATACCAAATTTATAGCAAACCTTCACATCAAGCTTCAGATACAATGATGGAGCTTCTTCCCATTGCCCAGCCATCTTTTCTATGTCTTCTTGTGTAAATCCATGGACATTCCTTGCCGCACAACCCTGAATAAAGAAAAATATGAAACCCACATAACAGTAAAAGAACATTTGCTCAGATAAGGAGTATCATTCAGCATCAAAACAAGCAAAAACTAAAAATCCAATATCCAAAGAACTAATCCCATATTCTGAAAGGGCAACAGAAAAGAAAGATGGAAAAGTTCTAACATAATCATGCATTAGAAAATTTTAGATTGCCAATTAAGAAAGTTATATTTACTTTTGTAAGGAACTATAATATTATCAGCTGGCTGTGAAGCTAAAAGAAAAACAAAATGATAATACTGAATGTTGCTTGGTCAAAGAACCAATTAACGCACCACAGGGTCCTTGTAAGTAGCTTCTAAAATGTAAACTTCGTACCCCGATCTCTGAAAGGAAGAGGAATATCCATGAGTAAAGGAAACATATTGGACAAACAGATCTCATGTACCTGTTCTTTAATTCATAGATTTATTAGGGCATGAAATAAGTATTAATCAGTATAACAGTAGAGGCCACAAGTATTTGTGCATGCATTTCAAATGAAATCAACATAAGAAGGCTGGAACTTCAGCAGGATACAGCTCATTTCACATAAAGCAAATGGTACAGGAAGTAGCAATGACCTCCCCACTTAAAGTTAACACTTTGATATCCATTATCGTTAACAGACTTGTGTATAACATGGGATATACAAAGTTTCATGTTAAACAAGACAAACAACCACGAAGCATAAGAAAATATAGAGGATATTCAATGGTTCAGCTTAGTTATTTCCAATTATTAATACTAAATGTTAAATTACCTCTTAACCTCTAAACTTTGTTTTCTACTTTTCCATATAAAATATGATAAGAAACCATGTATGAATAGTTTTACAAAACTAGGTAAAAAGAAGGGACGTGAAACATATGTCTGCACCTATTTCTGAGGGCAAATGGAGAGAGTATTACAAAGATATTGAGTCGTCTTGAGCACACATGGCAGAGGTTGCGAGGAAAAAAGAATTAAGGGTATACCTTTGCAGTTGCCCAAAATTGAGCAAAATCAGCTACCCGCAGATTGCGGTCATCCACTAAGACGAGGCACAAATACCACCAAGAAAAGAGTCAATTGCCGAACAAAACTGCATCTGTAGTTAGTGAACAAATAGGCAGTGCATGGGCACTGCATCACCACTTAATCTAAAACGAAACTACATCATTGAACCCCTATTATTCTATAACAAGACAGCATAGAGCCCTCAACCACTATCTCTGACTTCTATGCTTAAGCTACTATAATTTACCTAAGAAAACAATTTTTCTTTTGGTTTCCTGAATAAACAATGATTTAGTTAATTTCACGCAAAACATCTACCAGAGGAGATTAAGTCTCTGAACCAGTACTTCTGCAATTATATCAAGAACAAATCAACAGACATTATCACATAATGAGTATGGAACTCAAGACGAAATGCAAGATTCTCCATCCAGGGCAAAACTATGACCTCAAATTATGCTAAAACCCTGGAAATCATCTGTTTTAAGAATATTTTAACATATTTTTTGTGATGCATACCGATAATGAATGTGAAAACTCCCTCCTCAACCGTTTTTTTGAATGCTTTCAACATGCTTGACCGATAAGCCTGCCATAGCGGGGACATAAAAAAGAAAAGCATAAGCAGATCTAGTAATTAAGTGCATATCAAGTTAACCGGCATTAACAAAGAACTTGAAGCAAACGTATTGCATACATGAGTAGAACATAGAGCATACAACATTGGAATTTTCCAATATTTCTCATGCACAAACATATTTATGGATGACAAATATCCAAAATAAAGGAAAGAAAGAAATTCCTAGCAACCAGGCTACCATGGCCAAATTCCCAGTTTACAACCATATAACATGTAAGCCAGCTCCCAAACACTCTGCGTCACAAAAATTAGCTTCCACTGTCCAACTCCCCTACGTCCCCAGTCACAAAAATTCGAAACGCATTTAAAAAAATTGTGGACACAGAAAAACCTCAAACCCATATAGTACATGTTAACATGAAGTCTTCCCTCGCTCAAATCTTTCAACGAAAAAAAGGTCCTAAGATAAACAATAAACTTGCCACATTCAATCCTATAATGCTCTCCCTCTCTCTCTTTCTCCAGCCATTTCCATAACTCATTTTTAAGCAGAAAAATTGCATGGAAACACAAATCTAGTACTGCAATTCTAAACAAATGACAGTAGACATTTGGATCTAGATGAAATAACACATGGAAAAATGAAATAGCCTAGTATATGTAACAGTTACCTCCTCCATTTCAGGTTCATAACAATACTCCATGACCTTTTTCATTACAGGCTTCTTGTTTCGGCCTGAACTTGAAGATTTTGATGCATCGTTATCCTCAACCTTCTCAAGAGGAAATACAATTATTGACACAGCATCCACCAGAACTTACGGATTTAATCAAAACCACATATAGGACAGAATAAGAATGCTTAGTCAAAAATAAAAAGCAAGAGCATGAACCTTTTCAACCTCAGTCATAAAATAATCATCCATAGAATGAATTCGTGGAGCATCGCCACCATTTTCAACCTCAAGATTACGCAACATCTTTGCTAAGTAACTCTTACCACTACCTGAAAAGGACACAAACATACAACAAAGTTTTCAGTAGAAAGAAATCATCAAACCACACGCAAAATGGGCAAGAAATTGCTGTTGCTAGCGCAAACAAAAGAATCATAAAAGTCTTCTCATAATCGAAGACCAAGAAAACACAAAAGCAGGTGTTTCTTCAAGATGAGCAACACAAATACTTTGGAAATCACTGACATCTTTCACCTTACACAAAATCCAAAACTTGTAATTGCATGCATACCATTGATGAATTTGTTTCCAAAGTCCACACTAATCCTAATCACTTTATATAAACAAACAAATGGCCTATGTCCTAGTAAACAAGCTTCAAACAGAGTCAACTTGCATAAAAATAACAATTCATTAACAAAACAGATTTTCAAGAACTCTAAACCAGCAATGGCAAATAATAAACAATTAAAGAAACACCAACAGAAAGCACACCTGGAAGACCTCGAAAGATGACCACAAAATGATCAGGACGGGAAGCTCGATGTGGGTGCCGAAATAAGTGGGAAGCATCAATAAATTTAGGTTTCTCAGCAGAAAATTGGTTTAGTGAAAAAGGTTGGCCATCTCCCAAGTACTGCTTCAAATGTTCCTGCTCAAAATTCACAAGAAAATATAAAAATGCAGAGAAAAGTGCAATGACTCAAAATTACAAATCTAACAAGCATACCTCTGGAGGAAAGCCAGCGGAAAATTCTGGAAGGGGTTTACTGTGAAAATATTGCTGGGGTACAGGGTGAGCTTCAGGAGTCACGGCAGAGGAACTCATGGGAACAGGAAAAAGAGAATGTGATTTCTTGGGTGGAGAAAAGTAAGTATTTAACTGTGAAGAAGATTGATTGATGGGTGGATCCATGGGAAGAGGGGGTGGCGGCGAAGAAGGAAGAGGAGGCTGGCCCCTGAAGAACATTGAAGCCTCCATTTGACCCATACTCTCAGAAAAACTGTTGCTGCCACTGGTAGGGTAAGGGTAGGGATAATGAACCACTCTTCCATTCAACTTATGTTGGGTCTGATTTCCTTCCTCATGCGCATTTGCAAAGGGACCAAAATCATGGGGTTGTTGTATCTGCTCGTAAGGTACATTCATCTCCCTATGAGGAGTGTGAGCATGATAAACGTCAGGAACACGCTGCAATGGGTCTAAACTACTGGTTCCATAACCATGGTAAGGGTACGAAGAAGTTTTGAGTTGACCATTCTGAAAGGCATCGTGTCCTGAATCTGAACGAAACCCGTTTTGATTGGGCCGCACGGGTCCAACATAACTGTGATGAAGGTCTTGAGGTTGAGGTGGGTTAGCAAGGGCAACGCCGTGATCCCGAATCAACTTCAATCTACGCTCGTCGTCGGAGAAATTGATAGGAGGAGGGTTTAGGTCATCGTCGATTCTGGGTCTCTTGAAGTTTCTGTCGCCGTCGGCGAGGTAACTGCCGTTAGGTTGTTGCTGATAGGGTTGCCAATTAGGAAAAGGGAAAGGGCGCGTGTGAAAGGAGTGATCCCCTTGGAATGGTTGGGGGTAATAGGTGGTGGGTGGAGGAGGAGGACAAAAGGGCAAGTGTGAGATTGAGCAAGTAGGGCACACTGGTCTTGGACTAGGACGCCATTGACGATCCATTACGGAGATTCACCGATTGATTTTCTTGGAACCCTAGCTCTTCTCTATGTGATTTTCAACTACGACGACCACCAGAACCAGACCGGAATAACAGTGAACCAGATAATGAATATTATGGTGGAGTTTTAACGGTCCAAGCTCTACGGTTGATTATCATTTATGAATGTGGTTTCACATAATGATCCCAATAATTCGACCAAAATCGATATAAAAATAGGTTTTACATTTATCATTTCATATCACATAAGAAAGTTTTCTACACACATAATATTTTGTGGGACTTATATTTTTTGAAGCAAAAACAAATTACGGCACGTAAAACGAATCTCTATAACATTGCACAATTACTCTTACTCAAATATAACTCTGGGTTGAGACCTGACAATAATGCCCACCTTCAATGGATTTGAGGATCGGTTTTCCTTTTTCCAATCCAAATATCATAAATATTTAAGGATAGATTGTATTTATAAATTATTTTTTATATAAATTTTTACAAATTATAATATATACTATGCGTACGTATATATTATAATTTGTAAATGTTTGTAAACAAAAAGAGTAAATTTTTTATTTTATTTTTTTGATAACAGAGTAAATATTTTTTTGGATCCTTCACCAAAAATACGATCCTTTTTTAGTCCTTTATAAAAAAAAGTACTATCGAGGTTCGTATGAAATTCAAAGTGGACTCATTTAGTTGAAATTGTGGTCCCTCATAAATTCAAAAATACCTACATTAGTCCCTCAAAAGGACTAAAATGGGTCCATTTTAAATTTCTTAGGTACCTCGAGATTAATTTATTTTTGTGAGGGACTAAAGTGGAAATCATATTTTTTGTTAGAGACCCAAAAAGGTATTTACTCAGATAAAAGTTTTGTAAATGTAACTCTGCTCATATATTTAATATAAAAATATTATTTTGATTAGATTTTTTAAAATCTTCATATAAAATGACTATATTTTAATAAATTTTGTTTAAAAAATAAAATAAAAAAAGTCAGCAGAATCAAATTATTTTATCCACTCGACTTGATTAAATTTAATTAGTTTACTTTTTTAATTTTGTCTTAACCCAGCCTAACATGTAATCAGCCCTTAAAAACTAATAACGCATTAGTAAAAAATGGGTCAAAGCCCGCCAACAAAATCAATTGTTATATTGAAAAGGAGAAAAATGTGTATTATTTTAAAAAATATAAAATTGTGTCATTTTAAGTGAGAAAATGAGATAGATAAAGGATGAGAAAGTGTGGACAGAAAAATATAAAGGTGTGGGTCTCATCTCTTTATGAGAGTGAAAGAATATAAGTTGTGTTATTTAAAAAGACAAACACTTTTTCCATTGAAAAATGCTAATAACACACGCTTTTCAGCATATTCTTTATGGGTAATATTTCTCTTATGTTGTATAAGAGAAGTATTATCTTATGCTCAAACAATAATTAGGAGAGAAAAAAAAGTTGAAGGTGAGAGAAAAAAAATCTTGTAGAACCCATTTGAAAAATGTGAGTGTAGGAGATAATAATATTTTTTTTTTTTTTTTGATAACAATAATATTTTTATGTAACATAAGAAAAGTAATTCTCATTCTTTATTATTATTTGAATGTCATGTGGGTATCAATAAATAGAGAACTGGTCAAAAATCCAAATGATTTAGTGGTCAGTGGCGGAGCCACATACCTTTCGGGTGTGGCCTCGTCTCGGGCTAAATTTTAACAAATTATACTTATTATGTATAGTTATATAATTAATTATAATTTAGTCCGGATTAAAATTATAATTTGGCCCGGACTAAAATTTATAATTTGGCCCTATCTAAACCTTAAAATATTTTTGGTAAGAGATTTGGGTAAGTTATATTAGATTATGTGTTCAATTTCTATTTGTATAAAAAAAATTATAATTCTTCTTAGTACTGCCTGCTTATATGTATTTAATATAATTTAAATGGGGAGGGTTATATTTAAAAAAAAAATTGTTTACAAACTACACTATGTACTCCCAAAAAAGTTACACTATGTTTTCCGGAAGTATATAGTATAATTTGCAAAAAAAATTTAAAAAAATTTGTAAACAGATCATTTCCCCATTTAAATATATTATGATAAGCATACCAAATATATATATATATATATTATATTATGATATGAACTAATTAAAACTAAAAATAAATAAATACACGTATAAATTTTTGGCCCGAGCTCAAATTTGAGCCTGGCTCCGCCACTGTTAGTGGTACTCATGAAATTCACCGAATGAGTGTCTTGTGTTGTTAACTTGTTATCATGGGGGCTCTTTCAAATTTTCGCTAGTTTAATTCAAAAATTTGAGATGGAAATTCATTTTTATTTATGCTAGTTATAATTTGAGATATTGAAGTGGTGATTACAATCTTCAAAGCACGGACACGCTCCTTGAAGAAAAATTTGTGTGTCGGACACAGACACATTCTGACACGCGTCCGACACGCGGTCAATTTTTTCGGACACGCGGTCAACGTTCGGACATGTTTTTTTTTTTAAATCTTAAATTTATTTTGTTAACTAAATATAAAAGAAATAATTTATAAATTAATTTTTTTCTGTTATGAAATTTAACATGAAAAATTAACAAAGTGCGGAAATTTATTTATATTTATATTTATGTTATGAAATTTAAATATTTGATTGGTTATATGACTTATTATGGACTCTTATATGTATTAAATATAAATTATATTATATATATCGCAAATTTTATTTAATATTAAAACGTGTCCCAACGTGTCGAAATATGACATTTTTTAGAATTAACGTATCAGCGTGTCGTGTCGTATCGTGTCTCGTGTCCGTGCATCATAGATTACAATAATACTCTATTGTTTGCTTGGTTTTTATATCAATTGCTTATGTATACTCATAGACTAGTTGTGCAACCTACAATTTTTATTTATTTATTTATAAGTGAACAGATTTTTTATATTTGTTTAGGTTGTTCTACTTTGCCTTCTTATCACGGTATTGTAGTTGATTGGAACTAGATCAAACTCAACTCAAAGTACTTGAAAAACTTTACTATAATTCATCTAATAAAATAATGGGTTATATATTTTTCCTGCTAAAGGGAGAAAATTGTATCTTATATGGACATAAAACACAAGTGGGCCCCACATGTTTTTTTCTCTATCCTCTTTATATATAGACCTCACTTATGTTTTGTGTTTATTATATAAGACAATTCTTCTCCTATAACACGAGAAATATAACCCTAAAATAATTCATCAGAGAACATTAAGCTTTTTGATATTTTATCTGCACCAATAATATGAGTTGCAAATACCATTATAAGTTTATCGAAATGAGACAAAGGCTCATCAAGATATATTGTCCAAAAATAAGAAGGGTTCAAATTTTCTTCTTTCAATGGAGAAGAAATTTTATGCAACAAACGATTTTTACTATGGAGTTCCGGGGTACACAGTGAAAATATGAAAATCATTTTTTTTTCTCTCTCTCTCCATGTTAACAGACAACTTCTGAGGAGAGAGAAATTTTTTGCAGCTTTAATATTTTTACTATGTAACCTCGGAGGTACATAGTGAAAATCGGTTGCTGCATAAATTTTTTTACTCCATTGAAAGGAGAACTACATTTGTCAAAAAAGAAATGCGTTATCCCACAGAATTCCTTTTGTAGCTAAAAATTGGTTATCATCTCATCCCACCAATGATTAAATGACATGGTCAGATTTCCATCTAAGTCCATGTAACTCACCATAGGTATCCCGAAATCAGAAATCAGTTGTACAAATCACGCAAATGAACCAATCAGAAGACATCAACAAACCGTTGTACAAAGGTGATCAATTTAACCTACAGGAAGGTCATGACGCACATTACAAATATAGAGACAAAGAACTATGTGTATTCATCTTCCTAATGCAAACATTCAGCATTACAAATATAGAGACAAAGAACTATGTGTATTCATCTTCCTAATGCAAACATTCAGCATTGGAATGTCTTGCAATTACTCATCCCATATGGTTCCAAACTTCCAGTTAATGTGTCCAACTTATGCCATATCATCTCCAACCCGAAATATCATCTTATTTAAAGTCCCAAAGTTCCTAATACTTACAAGCTACCGTATCAACCTTGAATCAGGTTCACACCAAATTATTATTCATTGGGTCAAAATATTGTTTCATAGGTCAAAATGCTACTTATTCGGGAATCACTATTCTCAGGAATATGCTGAAAAAGTAAATTTCCCGAGAATATTACCAACAAGCTGTTTGGTAGGTCAAAATTTTCATGAGAATGTTGGGTCAATTTTCCTGATAATATAATTGGTTGATTGTAAAATATTGCTGGCCATGTATATCATTTTACAAAACTACTCTTAAAGGAATGGAACAACACAGTACTTCCACCTTTAAGAAATGTTTCCAGAACCTCAATGTCTTGTATCCTTACCAACAATGTCCCAAGAAAACAAAAATCACAGAGCTAAACATTTCTCATTTCCATACACATTTATTCAGTCTAAACAAACATCGTGGAGCTAAACAAAAATCACAGAGACAAACAAAATCACAGAGCAAAACAAAAATCAAGTGAGTTGTTATGGACCAGAGGAAGGCCCATAATCGCAGCTAGCCCAGACCGCGCGAGACCACAGGTAAGCACTATAAATAGGAACTAAAGACCACAGGTATGACTGATCTCTCTTACCCTATTTTTATGCAATCACAACAGTGCACACACACACCCCTTAGGCTGAGGCCGTCAAATAGTGTGCCGTGATTTGTTGTCCCCAAGGTACCTAATTCATAGGTATCTAGAGAGAAGCACTCTAATCCAAGACCGATCCTTCAATCTCAATTGGACACATCTGCCTCAGGCAGAACATTGGCGCCGTCTGTGGGGAAGATTTCCCCGTAACAAAATGTTCTAGAAAGCCGTTTAAGGAGATGGTGAGGGCTACGAGGAGTGGTTTTCATCAACCCTCAACGTCAAATCCTGGAAGCCTCCAGGTTCCGCCTCCCATTAGGGAAGATCCAGAAGAACAGGATCATCAGATACCACAGATCCCGAATCCAGATGTTGTGCATGTTAGTGATGTGCACTCAGATTCGGCATCAACTCCGGCGGTCAATCCAG